ATTTCTCTAATGATTAATGATATTGAACATCTTCTCATGTGCTTATTGATATTTATCTTAACTTATTTCTTATAGCTGTTAATCTTATTTGAGCTATTATCTTATTTAATCCTCTTAACAGACTTCCTCATAGCCTCTTAATAGTCAATATCCTCATTTTACAAAGGGAAACTGATGCTTAGAATTAAGTAACTTGACTAAGTCACACAAGTAGTCATTGGTAGACCTATAATCATGTCACTCAAATCCTTCAGAAGTGCCCCAAACCTATAAAGTAGAGGGGCTTCAAGATCTGGTGCCTACATATCTTTCTCTTTTCATCTTCCACTGTTCCTCTACAAGCACTAAGTCTCAAGCCATAACAAACTTTTTATCATCCCCGAAGAGGTCATGCTATTTAATACCTCTCTGTGCCTTTGCCCTTGGTGCTGTGTGACTAGGATGCCCTTTGTCCTCTTTTTCATGTATGAACTTCTACTCATCTTTCAAGGCCCAGTCAACTGTTACTGCTTTTTGGAAACTTTTCTAAATACTCCCAGGCACGGTCATTTGCTTCCTTGGTTTTACAGTTCCCTTCTACTAGGAGTATTATCGTCATTGTATTGTAACTTTATTTATAAGCATCTTTCTCTCTTCGGGTCTTTCTCTGACTTTCTCCTGATAGACATTGTGGTGTGCCAGAACACTGACCTTTGACATATCATCTATCATCTTTGTATTACCAGGACCAGGGATAGTCTGGCACAGAGTAGGTACTCAATAAATAGTATTGAATTAATACATTCCACCTTTCAGTTTGAATATCTGCCCTTCTCATAAAAATAGAAAAAAAGATTTTTACCTTAAATAGAGAAAGAAAACATGTATAGCTGTATAAAATTCAGAACAATATAAAAGTAATTATTGAATTAAGGATAAAGTCGCTTTATTTCAGTTGTTTTTCTGATCCTTCAGAAAATCTCCACTGCTTTGAATCCTTGGCTCTCAAAGCAGCATCTGAAGCATCGAGGGTTTAACAAACACCTTTGTATCAGTTTCCGTTCCTTTTATCTCACTGGCACTGGTGGATAAGGGGCAACATTCGGTTCTTACAATTTCAGAATATTTGGGGGAAGCTTTATTTCAAAATCTACAACGTATTTTTCATCATTAGAAGACACTTCAGCAAACCAAACCAGGCCATAATTTTATTTAAGACCTTCTTAATATGTAAATTAGAATATATATGTATATACATATGCATATATCTCACATCTGTAGATCACATCTTTATCTATTCATCTGTTAATACTTTGTTTTGTTATTTATATTACATGTGTATATATATATAAATATATATACACACATATACATATATATACACACATATATTTTTGTTTGTTTTTTATTTTCAATCCTGATAGTTCTTTATTTTCTCTAACATACGTGCTATGGGTTGCTAATTTGTAATAGGTATCATCACGAACACACACACATATATGTGACTAATATTTAGCCATGAAAAAGAAAGAAGTCCTGTCATTTGAGACAACCTGGATGGACTTTGAGGGCATTGTGCTAAATGAAATAAATCAGTCAGAGAAAGACAAATACTGTATGTTATCACTTATATGTGGAATCTTTAAAAAGTCAAACTCATAGAAACAAAGTAGAAAAGTGGTTTCCAGGAGCTAGGGGACTGGACAAAATAGGGAGAGGTTGGTAAAAGGGTACACACAATTTCAGCTGTAAGATGAATAAGGTATGAGGATCAAATGTATATAACACGTTGACTGTAGTTAGTAACACTATTGTCTAATTGAAATTTGCTAAGATAGTAGAACTTAAATGTTCTCACCAAAAAAAAAAAAAAAGATAAATATGTAAGGTGATACACATGTTAATTAACTAGTGAGAGAAATCTTTTCACAATGCATTTTTATTGTATACCAAATCACCAGGATATACATTTTAAATATCTTACAATATTATTTGTCCATTATATCTAGTGAAGCTGAAAAAAATCTGAATAACAGAGACCCTGGTTCATAGAGTATAATTAATGAGCTAACATTTGAATGAGAAAATGGCAAAAATTGTTTCTAAAGATAACTTTCCCTAGGGTGAGGGCTTTGATATCCTCAGGTATATTGTACTTTTGAAATGATCACTCTCTCTGGGTACACAAATATGATGGATCAATCAGGTTTTTTCTGCATCCACCTTTGTGTAAATTAGCATTCTGTAGGCCAAAGAAAATGAGTGATAATAAAATTCTAAAAGGTTAACATTTTCTACTCAGTTAAAATAATATTTTAAAGTTGTTTGCATAATTAATGATAATAGAGATGAGGATGAGGATGATGATAAGTATTGCTATCATCTATCAAAGGCTTGTTATAAGGCAGGCACTGTTGTAAGTACTTAGATCATCTTCTCATTTACTCTGTCCCATAAACTAGAAGGTATAGATATTATTACTATTTCCATTTTACAGATGAAGAAACTGAGGCACAGGGAGGTTAACTTTCCATGTTATCCTGTTAGTAAGTGGCAGAGTCAGAATTTTTACTTAGGCAGTGTAATTCCAGAGACTGTACCCCCAGCACACTGCCCTGTACTCCCAGCACACTGCCCTATACTCCCAAAACTGCTGCTCATAGACTGCTTACTCATCTGCTTAAATTTAGAGGCCATTGATGTACTAGTATGTCATCCGGGTCCAGTTTCAGGAAAGAGAAAGCACTCTAGTGTTTTAATTTGTTTACTAAAGGGAATCAAGTGCTTACAAAATCATTGGAGGGTTGGGAAGAGTGGGCTCCAGGCTGGGCCTTCAGAAATTATTCCCAGAACCAGGCTGCCAGACAGGCCCTCCAGGGAAGGGAACCACTGGTACTGCTGATTCCAGATAGCATTGCTAGCTACAATTCAAGGGTCAAGAAATTGCTACCTCGAAACTGCCCCTCAACACCCACCAACTAGTGACAACTAGTGTCTCCACCAAACTTGTTTCTTGGCAGCCATGAAGCTCTGGACACGAGAACTGCTGGAGAAACAGTGTTTCCACAAATGTGCTTGCCAGCATTAACAGCCAAAACAGCAGTAAGATGGTTCCCGCCTCATTTCTGCCTTCCAAATCTCACAAAACATCTGATGGATGGACCCCATTTCACATGGGGAAAGTTAACTGTAAAGGAGTCTGGGAAATGTATTTTTTATTTTTCCAGAAGGAAGTTAAAAAGGATGCTGAGAGTTAATGCAAAAATCTATTCTAATATCTGCTAGGGAAGAACTTGGAGGTTATATTCCTCAAAATGACATTTCATTAGTGTGTAAAAACTGTTAAGGGCACAGACTAGGTTCAGAAATCAGTTCTCTTAAAAAGCCACAGAATTAACTTTTGCTCATCACTGTATAGTCCTAGTACATTGGACTAGTTAGTGTGCTCTTAAATAGCATTGTTGAAATAGTGAAGCTAAAGCTGTCAAATACCCTTTGCTGAGTGCCCTCCTAGCTCACTGGGGCTAGAAGATAGATGAGCTTTTAGTGTAGCAAGGAGTTGTTCTCAAAAATTATTAGTTTTGTTCCCCCAATTACAAAATCTTAGTTTATCCCTCCATTGGATCCCGCTGTTTTAACGACGGGTGTTTCTTAAAATCCTTTTCATAGCCAATTCTAGTCTTTACTGTACTTTAAATGTGACACTTAAAAAGCTTTGATAACCCACTGTCAAAAGTTTGCTGCTTCCCACCTCCATCGCCTTTGCTCTCAGCTTCCTTTTGTCCCTTTATTTAGATTTCTTCTTATTTCTCTCATTCTTCTCAGCTAGAGACCTTCAGACTTTTTAAAATAACCTTTGCCAATCATAAGAAGGAATCACATTATACTTTATGGAATACTTAGATCACCTTGGCTTATTTCTCTGTTGGTTGATACTCAAAACTTTTTTAATAAACTTCTAGGTCATCCGTGTTTTGAGTGGTTTAAGTTGCCAAAATTCAGATCTCCTCATGAGTGGGTAGTTGATACATTTATTTTCTTCTTTGTACTTGCTTATATTTTCTAAAATTTCTGTAAGTATTATAAGACTTTTATAATCAGAAGAATGCATATCGTTTTAAAAAGTGATTCCATTAATTTAGTCAAAATTATAGGGAATTCTTAGCTCAATTTATTAGCTTATGAAATAAATTTTAGAGGGAATTCTTAGCTCAATTTATTAGCTTATGAAAAGCATCAAATTCATTTTTCTACGGCCTGTGGACATAAAGCCTTAACACTATGTAAACAAAACTTCATAGACAATGAAAAAACCAGTGGAACAAATTTTGGTGGTGGTGGTGGTAATTAAAAAGGTTTTGAATATAGTAGAAACTGAAGTTTTTTTCTAGCAAGAGTTGTTATAGCTGTTCTTACAAGTTGTGGTATATTCTGGTACGATCTGGCAGATCAGATAAGAGTTAGAAAAGATATGAGCCACTGCAGTGGGGCTTTCTTATCATATGTAGTAAGATCCCTCCTCCTCCCCGCACCCCCCGACTTCTCTCTTAACCATAAGGTTTTTAAGAAATGTTGAATTTCTCAAGTTGAATCTTTAAAGCTATTCTCTTTGGTTTTCTTGTAAATCATGTGGATGCCACTTGCAGGAAAAAGGGTAATGGGACATATTTGCTGTCTTGTTATCTCATCTGCTGGCCTGCCTTTGACTAGCTGTTGTCTTAAGTTTATTTTTATCATCAAAATTAAAAAGTATGTTTGCTTTCAATTTGCCATATTTTAATATTGGCAACTCTTCTTGCAAATTTTAATATTAAGATTCATGTAATAAATAAATAAATGTCCACTGTGCCAGATTATCTATTTTTACATGCTAAAAAAATGACACCTGATAAATGCCCCCATATAGTTTAAGTAAATATTTATTATTTACCTTGGCAGATATTTCTGTCTCTTACTACAAAAGTAGTGTTATAAATAACTATTATAAATGTATTAGAAATAACTATTTTCTCTCTCTGCAGGACAATCCTTCATACACAGACTGTGTTTGACTTGGAATCTTCCCTTTTTTACTCCATTCAGTTGACTTAGCAGGGTTTCAAGAGCAGCATTTATAAATTTCCAGGTATGAAAACTTTTAATTCTTGATATTATACCTAACTTAAAGTAGAATTTAAGTTAATAAAGCAGTTATAGATTTTAAAAATCAGAATGGGTTCATTGCTTGGAAATTCACTGTATAAAACATTCAACATTCTGATCTTAGCCAGGTCTCCCTGATTGCCTATTGCTAAATTTTTAATTCATTGCTTCTCTCGTGTTTTCCATTCTACCTAATCAAAGACTCATATTACATAGTGGCTGGAGATTATCTAGACTAATCCCTTCAGTTAGCAGAGAAAGAAATTAACCCTCGAAAGGTAAATATACTGTCTTTGGACATATAGCTAGTTTAGTGGTAGAACTACTGTAAGAAATGACCTCCCATGACAGTGGCGAAGGAGTGTAGCTCAGCAGTTACATCCGCAGCTTTGGAGTCACTGTCTAGGTTAATACCCTCTTCTGTAAAATGGGGATAATAATATCACCTACCTGGGAAATTGCTGTGTGGGGGATAAAAGGAGGCAATGTATATCTCTACTATTATTATTGCCTGTGGCCCTTTCATTTCTCACCAGTTGACCCCTTCACTGCTTCGTAGATTCCCCACCCTTGGCTAACATTTTACAGTGTTCTCCTGATTTTCCCAGTCATTCTCAGTTTATAACACTGGCTTCTCTTCCCCATCCTGCTCCACAGTCACGGGCAGTCCTCCAGGTTCTCATTCCAGCTCATGTTTCCTCTGAGCCCCTTTACCTCCATATATCTTTGCACATACCTTGCACAGCTTTATCTTCAAGTCTGACTTCCCCTCTAAACTTCTGATCAGCATTTCCAGTGGCCCTCTGGCCATCGCTACTCATTTCTCCTTTACATCAAATGGAAGGTACTTAAAACCAAAGTCATTGTTTTTCCTCTTAACCAGTTCTTCCTGACTTCCTGATTTCTGTTAGTGATACTGCTACACACCTAGGCTTTAAAAATCACTGAGTTCTCTCTTTGTCTCTCGAGCCTTCCACAGCCAATCACCTATCAAGACTCATGGAATTATTTCCCATTCAAGTCTTTTGCCTCTTTTCCTTTTCATTCCTGCCATTATCACTGCATTCAGGCCATTAACCACACTGGCAATTTCAATATAGTAACAGTTTGGTCACCTGGAAGTAGCTTGATTCATTTTCTCTCTCTCAAGAAATACAACCTTTTGACTTTTCATAATGGCGTGTCAGCACGTCACTTGTTCACGTAGCACATGAGTCTTGATTTAACTAAAGGCACAGAATATCATTATTCAGAGAGCTCCCAAAATATCTCAATCTTGAATTACAGCCTAGATTTGGCTAAATGTGAGACTGATAGTTAATATTTCACCTACTTGTTTGAAAAACTTTAAAAATTTTTTATTTTTGAATGTATTAATATGATTTGAAACTCAAAAAATACTCAAAAGTATACAGTATAAATTCTGCCTCCTGTCTTTTATCTTCTGTTCCCCAGATGCCACCTCACCTCCAATTGGCAACCATTGTTCTAGGTTTCTTGTTCACCCTTCCAGAGTTTCTGCTTATTTTTTCCTTTGTTAAAAAAAAATTATGGATATATGTATACACATACACACACACATATATAAAAATTATATAAATTATACATATGCTATATATATAAATTATACATATACAACTGTCCCTTATACATGGACACTTTTCTGATCTCTTGCTATCATGAACAGTGATTAACCATGTACATGTGTCATTTTGATCAGTGTACCTGTAGGGTAAATTCCCAGAAGTGAAATTGCTTGGTCAGAGAATATATACATTCGTATTTTTGAGAGCTATTTCCAAATTGCCTTCTGTGGGGTCATACCAGTTTACATTCCCACCAGCAACGATTGAGAGCGCCTGTCCTCCCACAATCTTCTCAATATTATCAAATTTTTGGATTTTTGCTGACTTGAGAGGGGAAAAATGATACATCAGTATAGTTTTAATTTGCCTTTATATTTTTATGACCCAGGTTGAACATCCTTTCATATGATAAAGGCATTTGTATTTTTTCTGTGAACCGTCCTTTGTCCTATTTTGTATTTATTGTTCTTTCTCTTGCTACTTTCTTAGAAGCTTGGTGTTTTCATGGAGATTACCCTTTTCTCTGATAGAAGTTTTTACCATTTTGTCATTTGTCTTTTGCTTGTGTGTGTGTGTGTGTATGTTTTGCCACCAGAATTTTGTTTTATCTTTATGTAATCAAATGTATCAATCTTTATTTTATGATTTTCATATTTTGAGTTATGGTTATTAAAGCCTTTTCTACTCTTGAGTTTATAAAGCCTTCCATATTTTCTATTAGAACTTATAAAGCTTGTTTTCACATTTAACTCTTTGTTCCATATGAAATTTATCCTGGTATAAGGTGGGAGATTTAAGTCCAGCTTAATTTTTTTCTCAGAAGGCTAAAAATTATCACAATGCCATTTGTTTTATTAAATTGCTAATCTTTTCACCACAGGTTCATCATACGTTAAGTTCCCACATTTATTGGAGTATATTTCTAGATTTTCTCATATATTCTACTGGCCTTTCTCTTTATCATCAGTAATACAGTTTTGATTATTGGGAAAGTAGCATATAATCGAATATCTATTGGTTCCTTCTCTTTGTTTTTTTTCGAAATTTAACTGGCTATTCTTATTTATTTTTCCATAAAACCTTAGCAACTTTTATTGATCTTAAAATAACCTGCTGGTATTTTTACTGATTATGTTGTCACCTACTCTTACAGATCAAGGACTTCAATATAAGGTCTTTTTGCCCATTGTTGCTCACACCAATAGAACGAGACTATTCAGTAAAGCAAAGCAGAGACTATTCTTTGACCGAAGAATGGAGAAGGACTAGCTTATGCTCTAAAGATACCTTCTTTCTGATTTGAGGAAGTTAGAAGTCTTAAAGGATTGGTGGGAGGTTTCAGGGGTGGGGATTCCTGAGAAAAGGATGGAGAGTTCTCTGAATTGTTGGGAAGCGTGTGCAGTTTCTAAACATGCTTAGAACATGCCTGACCATACATATACCATGTCTCATTTTAATACTAAGTCTCCATCCCAGTTGTGATATTTAGCATACTCAGGAAGAGAAATTCCTCAGAAGGTTACTTAGGAAGGGGTTTGGGGTGTCATCTTGGATCGTTCTGGTACACACCAGTTTCTTATTTGTGGTCCAGGAGTATCTTATCTGGTCTTTGCTGGTAGGCTTAGCTTGCTCTGAAATTTCTGCCCTTTCCTGACGAGTTCAGCCTGTTTTGCCAGGGAATGCGTTGGAGAATGAGAGGAGACGAGAAAGTTAGTAGAAGTTTAAGGATTAAGTAATGTGGTAGCACAACCCCATGACAATGTTATAAAATAACTTGGGAAGAACTAATATCTGGATATGTTGAATCTTCTATTCAAAGGGTTTGGCTTTTCATGGTCTTCTTTTGTATCCCTTAGTTTTCTTCATGAGTCTTATACAGTTCTTGTTAAATTTATTCTGAAGTATTTTATATTTTTGATGCTATTCTCAATGGGAGTCATTTAGTTTATCTCATAAGCTAGTGTGGGTTGTTTGTTTTTTTGAATATATGAAAGTTACTGATTTCCAGTATTACATTTATAACCCCCTTCCCCCTGTGAATACTCTTCTTGTTTGTGGTAATTTTACAGTTGATTCTCTTGCATTACCAGGTATATAATCATATTATCTGCAAATAATGATAATTTTATATTCTACTTTCCAGTGGTTCTTTCTCAAGTCTAATTTCATTAGTCAATGTCTTCAGAACAGTATTAAATAATAGTAGTAATAGTGGGCATACTTTCACTGACTTTACTGAAATGCTTCTATTAAAAATGCTAGATTTGGGGCTTAAATAGATATATTTTATCACCAACAAGCTTTTATTAAGAACAGATTATAGACAAGACTGTGCCATAAAATGGAGACTAAAAAAAATTAATATGACTCTACCTGCCTTTGAAAAGCTTACAGGACAAGACAGGTACAAAAAATAGTGTTACAGGTGTCACAGCAAGTTATGTGCAGGATACCATAGAGACAAAAAAAAAAAAGTGATAGCTAATCAGCTTGAATCCCATGTGAAGATAAAATCCCAAAGAACAATGTACTCAAAGCTTATCAGCTTAGTTTGCCCTTGAAATGTTTTCATTGAATTAACTATAGGATGACCTTGACTAGAGGCAACACATAGGGAAAATCATTTAAAGAACCTTTCTTAGTTCAGTAAGGACACTGGGGAAGATACTTAAATGCCTCCGACATACCAAACATTAAACTAAGGCTGGTCATACTCATAGACATGGTCTCTACTCATACAGGTATTACAGTGTAGCAAATAAAATGCAATCCAGCAATTGCCATGAAGTACATGTATATGGTACAACTGGGCATGGAAGAAACAGCAGTTAATGTCAGCCCAGGGAAGTCAAGGAAAGCTTCCCAAGGGAGGCCCTGTTTGAGCTGATTCTGAAGGAGAAATAAGAGCTTTGAGAAGGGTGGTTTTATTGTAGCACAGGAATAATATGTACAAAAGCTTGGTGGCATGAAAGGGATGGTATGTCCAGGAACTGGCATATAGCTTAAGAATGGCAAGTGAGGTAGGTGATAGGAGATAAATATGCAGAAACTGGCAGAAGCTGGGTCTCGAAGGGTATTAAATCCACTCATAGAAATATGGGCTTTGTCTAGTAGGTGGGAAGGAGCTCTTAAAAGAATTTTAAACAGCAGAACCCAGAAAGATAACATATTTTAGGGTAGATTGAAGGGAGAAAGATAAAAGGCAAGGAGAGCAATTAGGAAGTTTATTGTATTAGTCCAGATATTCTCTATGATGACATTTAATGTCCTCATATGAGAATTCACATGACAAATTCCCCCTAGAAGTCAGTGCCAGTAAAATGCTCATTTCTACTGGGGAAATGATGGGAGCATTGTATATATCACTTGTGTTTCTCTTTGTGTTTTGTTTCATTCG